ATTGTCGTTTCCTTCTCCTTCTCCTCTCTCTCCTCTTCTCCCTTCTCTCCACTTCTCCTGCTCCTACTCTTGCTTTCTCCCCCCCTCCTCCCTTCTCCTTGTCTATGGTCATTGTAGTCATTTCTGCTACACATTTTCTCGAATCCTTCGTTGATGCTCCGACCGCTATGCCAGACTCCGTCACCCGGACAGTCTCTTCTCTCCGTTTCGATGCGCAATGTTGACGAGAAACGTCGAATCTGGTCGATTCTCGCGCGACGGCTGCACATATTTCCCTGCTGCCTGCTGCTGCTGCTGTGCTGCTGCTGCTTTGCTGCTGCTGTTGCTGGCTGTCTTCTGTCTGCTGCTGCCCTGCTGCTTTGCTGCTGCTGCTGTTGCTGCTGCTACTGCCTGCTGCTGCTGCTGCTCTGCTGCTGCTGCTATTGCTGCGTTGCTGCCATCGCTGCTGCTGTTGCTGCTGCTGCTACTCTTCCTGCTGCTGTTGCTGTTGCTGCTGCTGCCTGCCTGCTACTTGCTGCTGCTGCTGCTGTGCCTGCTGCTGCTACTGCTGCTGCTGCTGCTGTCACCGCTGCCGTGCTCACGCCGGTTCTCTCCGCTTTATTTTTACAGTACAGGACAATAAGAGCTTACTGTGAGGATCTCACTGAGGGCAAGTTCTCCTTCCCCATCATCCACTCGATACGGAGCCGGCCCGAGGCACATCAGATCATGAGTATCCTTATCTCGCTCGCGGGTTCTGTTCCCGAAAGCAAGGAAGGGAGTAAGAGGAAGATGAGGGAGCAGTAGTAGTTGTAGTAGCAGTAGTAAGGAGGAGGAGGAGGAGGAGGAGGAGAGGAGGCAGAGGGCGGAGAAAGAGGTGGAGCGGAGGAAGACGAGCAGTAAGAGGAAGATGGAGGAGAGTAGTAGTTGTAGTAGCCAGTAGTAGTAAGGAGAGGAGGAGGGAGAGGAGGCAGAGGAGGAGTAGGATCAGTGGGAGGCAAAAGACTAGTAGTAGCAGCAGCAGCAGCAGCAGTAGTAGTAGTAGTAGTAGTTGCCAGCAGCACCAGCAGCAGTAGCAACAGCAGCCAGCAGCAGCAGCAGCAGCAGCAGCAGCAGTAGCAACAGCAGCAGCGCTTAGTACTGTATAGCGTAGCCAGCAGCAGCAGTCAGCGGCAGTAGTATGTTAGTAGCAGTAGCAGCAGGCAGCAGCAGCACGCAGCAGCAGCAGCCAGCAGTAGTATGTAGTAGCAGCCAGCAGCAGCAGCAGCCAGTAGTATGTAGTAGCAGTAGCAGCAGCAGCAGCAGCAGCAGCTAGTAGTAGTAGTCACTAGTAGTAGTAGTAGCAAACAGCAGCAGGCAGCAGCAAGCAGCAGCAGCAGCAGCACAGCAGAGCAGCAGCAGCAGCATGTTAGCAGCAACAGCAGCAGCAACAAGCAGCCAGCAACAGCAGCAGCAGTAGAGCAGTAGTAGCAGCAGCAGCAGCAGCAGGAGAAGAAGAATTGTGGAGGAGGTGAAGGAGGCTGCGGCATGCACGCAGCGCACGCACACATACACCATGCATTGCACGCACACATGCACGCACCACGCTCCTTAATGACGCTTGCTCGCTCGTCAGACATCATACGGTCAGCGGCGAAGCGAGACAGAGCTGAAGAATACTGCGTGCAATACCTGGAGCGTGTCGCGGCTCGTTCGAACACACGAAGCGCACTCTCGTCGCCCTGGAAACGCAGTGAGTTGGCGAAGCATCCCCGAGGGAAGATGCTGCGAGTGGCGATAATGGTTTTTTTTAATCCGGGCGATTTCCCTGTAGCCCTCTACGAAGCTAACTCTATCCATAACCTTGAATCTTAACCCTTATCCTAACCATAGTGCTAACCTGTGCCTAGACATAACCCTAACCCTAAAGCTAAATGCTAACTCTATCCCATAACCGTAACCCTAAGCACAACCCTAACCCTAATCCTAGGCATAACGCTAACCCTAACCATAAGCCTAACTCTAAAGCTTAATGTTAAACTCTAACCCTTTCCTAACCCTAACTCTAACCATGTACCAAGACTTCCCCTGTAAATCTTGTCTCACACACATCACTACTACAAACATCGTCTGCACCCAAACTAACTCCCAATAGATGTAGTTTACTGATATTCCATGTTGCTAGGTGTTGTTTACTGATAAATTCATGGTACTAGGTGTTGTTTACTGATATTCCATGGTTGCTAGTGTTGTTTTACTGTATTCATGTTGTACTAGGTGTTGTTTACTGATAATTCATTGGCTACTAGTGTGTTTACTGATAATTCATGTTACTAGGTGTAGTTTACTGATAATTCATGTTGCTAGGTGTTGTTTACTGATAATTCATGGTACTAGGTGTAGTTTACTGATAATTCATGTTACTAGGTGTAAGTTTGTGATATTCCGTGGGACTAGATGTAGTTTAGTGGATTCGGGATAGTAGTTTACTCGATCAGTGTTACTATGTGTACTACTACTACTACTACTCAGCCGGACGCATCCGAGATTAGAGTCTACAATGCCATGCCATGAATCTTTGTCCATCATCAGTGTCTGCATGTCCGCTATGTCATGCTATATAATATTATTTATTTTTAATATAATTTAGTGATATTTCGTGTTACTAAGGGTAGTTTAGTGAAAGTTTGTGTTACTAAGTGTAGCTTAATGATAATTTGGTGTTACTAGATGCAGTTTAGTGAAAGATTGTGTTACTAAGTGCAGTTTGGTGATATTCCATGTCACTAGGTGTCATTCAGCGATATAGTTTCATGCAGATAGCACACTCGCACGTGTTCCACTGCTTTCAGAGCGAGCGCACAGATACGCGCTCTGGGAGGCAACCCTTACCTGGAGGCGATTATCAGAGAGCTACGCAAGGTCTACGCCGGGGACTCTCCACCCGCCGCACCGACATCCTAGCGCCCTCTAGCGACAGTCTTCAAATCTACGCTTCTCCTTATGTGTATATACACGTATCTGTGTGTTGGCTAGGTAGTGGTCGGGTTACGGGGAGGCCCACGTATCGAAGCTGTGTTATTCAATCAATTCAGGCGGTGTGCAATTCGCGTCGGGTAATTATTTATTTTAATGTTGCGAGTCTCTCTGCTTTCTGTCCGTCGTATTTAGCGATTTCCATTTAATCCAATACCACGTGGTCGATTGACGGTGCCGTGACGTCACAGAATCCAAACGTTAGGTAGAGCCGAGTTGTACAAGAAAGGGAGAGGAAGGCAGGCAGACAGAAGGCAGGCAAACGAAAGGCAGGCAAACGAAAGGCAGGCAGGCAGATGGAAGGCAGGCAGGCAGACGGAAGGCAGGCAGATGGAAGGCAGGCAGACGGACGGCGGAGGACAGACAGACGGATGGCGGAGGACAGACCTGCTGTTTGTGCTAAACAGCTGCATGAGGCGGGTCGCGAGGCCAAATAGCCCTCCAGTCTTGCGTATGACCATCGCATTGTACTGTTCCTCCGTCGGGCAGGTATACGTGTCGCGCCAATGTATGTCCATGCCCTGGCCACGATGCAGCTCCAGCAGCTGGTCTGCAAGGGAAAGAATTGGCATGTGTCAGGTAAGGTATATGTCAATCACGGTATATGTCAGGTACGGTATATGTCAAGTACGGTATATGTCAGGTACGGTATATGTCAAGTACGGTATATGTCAGGTACGGTATATGATGAGGTATATGTCAGGTAAGGTATATGACAGGTAAGGTATATGACAGGTAAGGTATATGACAATGACAGATGAGGTACAGCAAACAATGTAAGGAGGAGGCGTCGGGAACGCGATCGCCCGCAAAAAATCAAGTCGCCGATTACGAACTACGGTTCTGCTAGCGAAAGAAACAACGCGAAAGCGAGCGTAGTACGTACGCACCCGTGAAAACCTTCGTGCAGTCCGGGTGGCTGAGCGAGACGGCCTTCTCGAGGCCGAGGAAGTAGACGTAGTTGGCTGCGTTAATTGTGCTCGCGACGCCGTATATCGCGTGCGCGACCGGCTGGCCGCGTCGCAGGATCGAGTTGTCCTCGATGTCGTCGATGCTGAAACGCGAGGCGGACGACGACGACGTTTTCGATTACGGATCACGTCGAATTTCGCGACCGGCAAGGAATCGTTTTCCGTCGTGCGGCGAGCGAGTAAATATGTTCGTTGTGGAGCGACAAATCGTTTGCATTCGTGTGGAGCGCGTGCGAGTGAATATGTTTGTTGTGCGGAGGAAGGCTGCAACGCGGAGCCGACGACAACGTTCCTACGTTTTCGATCGCGCGGCGTCGAATTTCACGGCCGGGGATAACAAAGTTTGTACGTTTGCGATTACGGATTGCGTCGAACACGTGGCGACAATCGTTCACCTTCATGGGGCGTGGGCGGGACTGAATATACCTGTTGCGCAGCGGGGGGGATATGTATACTATGGCGTGTCGTCGCCGGTGCATAGAGCATGTCACGTGTCATAAAATAAAAACTGATATTGCCTGTGGGAAAATCAGTATTGCCGGCTTAGCACATTCCCGTTTATGTGTATATATAGTGTATATATGTATATAAATCAACGTATTAGCCAGCGAGCCGTGCAGCCGTGATTTGCATGGTCAGTTTTGAAACTGCACGGCCAAAAATGTGTAGCACGACCTAAGATATTGATCTAAAGCCGTGTGCAGCAATAGCAGCAGCAGCAACAGCAGCAGCAGCAGCAACAGCAGCGTATTGCAGCCGTCGCGCGAGAATCGACCAGATTCGACGTTTCTCGTCAACATTGCGCATCGAAACGGAGAGAGGACTGTCCGGGGTGACGGAGTCTGGCATAGCGGTCGGAGCATCAAACGAAGGATTCGAGAAAATGTGTAGCAGACAATGACTACAATGACCATAGACAAGGAGAAGGGAGGAGGGGGGGGAGAAGCAAGAGTAGGAGCAGGAGAAGTGGGAGGAGAAGGGAGAAGAGGAAGAGGAGGAGAAGGAGAAGGCAAACGACAAGGAGAAGTGGGAAAAGAAGGAGGAAGAGGAAGAGGAGGAGGAAGAGGAGGAGGAGAAGTAGAACGACAAAGAGAAGGGGGAGGAAGAGGAGGATGAGAAGGGAGAGGAGGAGGAGGAGGAGGAGAAGGGGGAGGAAGAGGAGGAGGAGAAGGGTCTTACTTCTTGCGAGTACAGGTTTGCGTAGTCGTCCCGGATCTGGAAGTAGAGTCCTAACGTATCGGACAGCGGCTTCAGATCACTGGAAAATAAATCAGAATCGGCGATAATTTACAATAAATATAAATAATTCAGAAAGAATCATAATAAGCGTCAATGCGAAGATGTACACCATGGAACTCCGTCTTTTGGGATATTCAATGCAGTTGCAAACAATAATAATAATTATAAACGAACTAAAAAATTCAGTAAATCCAACGTGTATAACAGGCACTCAATGGACACGCCGAAATCGGCCCTTACGAACACGCGGCTGTTCTACAAGGGTGTCATCTAACACGCGGCTGTTCTACAAGGGTGTCATC